AAAAAAAAAAAAACAGGAGCATAACATTTTTACTGGAAGTGATTTACTGTTTTTGAGCAGTCTGAAGTAAGTTGAATAGTAGTCTGCTTATGTTCTGAACTAACCACAAATATGTAAATTCTCATCTTTCCAGATCTGCTGTCACCATCATTAACAAATGTTTAACAATAAAGTGACATTTCTTCAGTAATGCTTGWCACTTTGACAGAAGGGATTTTTAGGCAGTTTTCAGAGCCAATATACTTTGAGGGCTTCACAGCAAGAAGCTTGGGACATGTTTTAATTTACAGTAGAGAATTAATGCGGAATAGTTAGTGGAGAATACGGATGTAAAAATCTGAGAACAAAGTTTGCCTGAAAGCTCAGGCAGTTCCATTTCTCCTTTATACACTTGTATACTGAGTAGATAAGCAGCTTTTGAGTTCAGGTGAGCTTGAACATAGGATCTTAAGTTGAGCTGGGCAGAACTGGTGTGTAAATCGATGAATCCTTCTGGCTAGATCTACTGCAGAGGTTGGTCTCCATGCAAAACTTAAAGGAGATGATCACATGCATAAATTTCTCCAGGTCTAAGTTAGGTATGCATTTATATATGTGTATATACATGTAGATATATATATATATTTACATTTTAATTTTGAGTAGACACATRTTGTGTTATTTATAGTTAATTTATAGTTCCCAGACTGCGAGTTCTTATCCAGTCATACACCTCTGAAATGGGTATTTCTGGAGACTGGAAGATTGGCTTTCTGCCACGTTTCCACTGAAGACTTTTAGTTCTGCGAGGGAGCAAAAAGTAGGGTTACTCATTAGGAAATGTATTGGTGCATTATGCTGTGTAAAAATGTGTGATTTTGCCCTCTGTTGGATGTCCCACTGAGAGGATAAAGGGATCTACATAAAGAGACCTATGCTTATTAATGGCTTTACAAGTTCTTTGGCTCTAGTTATTTAAAAGAAAAAAAATGCAGTTGAAGGATAGCAATTTTATATTGTGCTGTAGTGGTGATTGAAGCTCAGCAGTAATTTCTTTCTTTGGCTTTTTGAAGTCAAGTCTTTCTACTGCTGTCAGCTGACAAATGTCTACATTTAGCTCAGGTTTGAGAATTGTAGAAGCAAATTTCTAGTCTTAGCTCTCTGTTTATGGCTGTTTAATGGACATGGTAATCTTCCTAAAGTRGAAGAGGTAGACACAGAAAAAAAGGATAATTTTATTTTAATCCTTATGAAATGAAAACAGAAAAAACACAGCTTATGTTTGAAAAACTATTTGATAAACAAAAACCTTRTTTGGGTCTAGTCTGTTTGCAGTATAATTCTTCAAAGAGCTAATTTTGAGAAATATTTGTATACCTGCTTCTTTGTGTCCCTAAGGTTGCCTGATGAAAACAAACCACAAACATGAAAATATTTCTATTTATTAATAACTTTTGAGGTTATTTTCTACAATACATAATTTTCAAGAGTTGGAGAAAAAGAAACACTATGGGAAATTGCAAGTCCAAGTCCATGAGCCATGAACATAGCAAAGCTTAAAAATAATGTGTGATGCAACAAAGAGTTTTCCCTCATTAATTTCTCATCTACCCTGTACTACAGATCATAACTGAAGAAATTTTTGGCTCACATAGAGCAAAAATGTAGTATTTTATTGGTGTATTTGGCAATTTTATGACTAAATTAATTTCAGAGCCCGATATGAAAAGTAGTGAATCTGTATGCATAATGATTTTCAGGTGAGTAGTTAATGACTTGAACTTAAGCATTTTGCAAATTCATCACTCCTTGCTAGGCAGAAAAAAAGATCTGCTGCTTTAATGTGTGTGTTAATGTAATAACTTGTTGAAGAAAAGACTTCTCTCAGAACCTGGGCCCTGATAACTACGCTTTCTTATTGTGTTAGCAAAGGGAAAAAAAAGTTAATTTGACTATCACACATACTTTAGTTAATGCTTATGCTTTTATGTGGATTTATTCTTCTGGAAATGAGCTCTTTTACTTTCAAATTTTGCTTTGGATTACAGTTTTGCCTTTTTGTTAAATTATTCTGTTAAGTGTGATAAAACATTTGGGCTAAGTTACTCATCATTGCTTTCTGACGTAGTTATGTTATTCTACATAGCACTGTCACGCTCAGAAGAAGGATCCTTGAAAACTGCAAATGGGTTCAAAGGACTTTATGTCCCCATACGAGTAATGTGTGGATTTGCCATTTAATCTGTGGTARTTATGGAAAGATTATGGAAAGTAGAGAATATTTTCAATCAGCTTTTGGAAAATGCATGCATGCAGTTTGGTCTTTTCTGTTAGATGTGTAAATACAAACACATTTTGCCTCAGGAATAAAATAAATAATAASAATAATAATATATTGCATTATTATTAAAACACATTGCAGTTTTTTTTTTTCTTGGTAATATTTTACAAACTTAAATGGGTAGCAGAGCTGCAGGGCTAGCCTGTGTGAGAAGAGGCCATGAATCCTTCTGTGCTGGTCATAGCTGCTTCCAGACAGCTCCAAGCAACCGGAAGAAACCCAGCTCATGACAAAACAGCAACTGGTCAGGGAAGGGCACATTGTGCCTGCTCAAAAATGCTTAAAAAAAKAGCAGCAACCTCAAGGGGAGGAGATATGTGAGGAGACATGTTTAGAGATAAGTGAGACAAATGCTGTTGGCAAGATACAGGGAGGAGACACACGAAAGGAGACATCGCTGAGGATATGACTCTGCTTTTGGAGGGAGGCTYTCAATGCTGAAGGAGGATACCCCATGTGCCTGCAGCCCTGGCTCATCCGTGCCAGGTCAGGGACACCCCTAATGATGTGTTAAGGGACCATGCTGGAGCATGGACATCCCTGAGGGGATGGGCCTGTGAGAGATCTATGCTAGAGCATGGAAAATGAGGCAAGAAGCAGAGGAGAAGAACAAGTAATGATGAAGGCACTGCAGGAGGAAACAAATATGCACTGACCCACACCTCCTGCACCACCACTGCCTCACCAGAGGAATTGGGCCAGACTGAGTATAAACCACCATGAATAAAAGGGAAGACAAGACTATAAAATGTGCGTAATAGACATTTGAGTTAAGTTCATCCTGATGAAAGGAAGGATTTTAAATATTTTTTTGTACCCAAATTAGTGATTGGAAGTTTGTTTTATTGTGTGGCAGAAGATTAAATTAAGCAAAAATTACATGAGTCAAGACTCTTTTGCCTATGGCAGGCTCTAAGATAATTCTTTTCCAGGACCTGTGGAGTCTACTGTGTTAGCTATCCCAATGAAAGACCTTGATTGCGTATTCTACCTAACTGAAAGTTAGATAACTCATGTATCTGCTTTCCTGATGTCTGTGGTTGTCCTGAGGTCAAAGTCAGATTTTCTGGAATGTGTTATCATCCTGGAAAACAATGCAATAGTTTCATTTGGCTGTTACCCTAAAATGGTCTGCATACTTCAGCTGTATTTTTTAAAGGTTTGTATAATATGAAAGAATAAAGAAAACATCCTGTCTGTGGTGTGGGGATCCAAGGTACACAGTGTAACACTATATGAAGACAGACAGAAAATCAGGGTGGAAAGTCTGTCTAAAGGCCTTTTTTACCCTCATAAAGATTAGGTATTATCAGGGCTCTGCAGGAAGTGATGAAGAGGTTGGAGTTGAAAGAATTTTAATCTCTTGCTATGTAAAACCAGGAAAGGACTAAGAAGATAAAAAGATGAACTTTTGAAAAACATATTTGTGTCCTACAGTCCTATTAGAGTATTTTTTTTCATGGGTAATATTTTACAAATTTAAATGCATCAGCTACCTTCTGTATTGTTCACCTTGTAGGGAGGGGTTTCCCCCTCTGGCAGGGAGAGAGAGTGGAGGTGGTACTATAGGGTTTTTTTTCATATTTTCCTGACAAACTAGTTTTTGTCTTCTCATTTGTTGATTTTTCTTCCCATGCATTCATCGGTTTCTTTGTTCTAGGAGATCGGAGGTTAAATATCTGTCATTTAGAAACAGAAGATCATAAGACTTTTTTCTCTGTAAATACCTCAACTATCACACAGTCATGTCACACATGAGGTCAACATGCTTGTGAAACTGCCGTAGTATCAATATTTGCAAAGAAAATTTATTTCTTAGAAGCTTCTAAGGCCTTATGAAGCCAAAAATAAGTTGAGAAAGRTCATAGTCTCTCAATCCATATCCAGTCGATAGATACAAATTAAAAATAAACTAAAAAAATACATGTCATGGTCCTGTTTTGGGACGTAATAGTGCTCCCAACATGCMTTAATTTTTTAGATTTGTTTCTCCTATTCCAGGGCTGTTTTTCAGTTTATGGTTGTGCATTATCGGTTTGTGTTACAAAGTAAGTATGCAAGTTAGTATTGAATATATTGCAGATTGATGATGAAATTTAATTACTAATTAAAAATTCTTTCAACAGATAAAATTTTGGTATCAGTTATCTCAAGACTCCCAGCTTTCAGTCTTTAAAAAAAGTACCCTGGATGGAAGTTTGGAAAAACTGTTGGGCATTTCAGGATTGCCTGAGCTGCAGTGGGCAAAAGCCAGTGTACCAGTAGAAAATGTACCTGAGGATTTACCTTTTCAGGTATTTACAAACTACCTTTTTGTAATTGTACAGTTGTTCTAATTTGGTCTATAGAACTAAATTACTCTAAAAATAAAATATAAAGTAAGAGTTTTGTATTCTTTAACGTTCATATAAAATGGAATTCTATTCAAGTCTTTAAACAGACCTCACTGTTAAAGAACAWCATTGCTTCAGAACTGCCTGCATTGGAATCAAGTATTCATAATAAAAATCAAGCAGGAGTTGTGCAGTAGATTAAAAAAAATACCTTGCTATAAAAAGTGTGATGAAAGTGAAGGCCAAATTATACTGGCTAAACTTTGGAGAAGTACAGATCCTTGGGCTTCAACTTGCAGCACTGATCACAGCAGCAACCTGTTGAGTTCATTTCATTTCTACATAACCTCTGAAAACACACTTTATTAAAATTTAGGATGCAACTGTTGGGGAATCATCATCAAAYACTAGTATTTAGCAAATTAAAATTACAGCTTTTTCCTTTCATTTTATTTCTTATTTTTGTTAAATTTCTTCTGTCTAAAAGAAAACAACTCAATCCTTGGTAAGTTATGACTGAACTTTATTTTCATTTCTGTGATCTGTTGAATATTTTCTTCTCCTTACAAATACATCCTTAAAACCTTACACTTACTGTACCTCATATAAAAAAAGTTGTGTTTTTTTTAAAGAGTTTAAATAAAACATATCTCTGGATCTTTACCTTTATTTATAGGTAGAAAACTGCCAATGAAGAGAATCATTTACAAATGAGTCTCTAGCGTATTCAAATGAAATCAAAATAATTTGCTAGTTGGCAGAGAATCTTACACATTATCTTTAGAAATATATCTTAACACGTCTCACACAGCATGGACTTGTTTTTAAGGAATACTTTGTTGACTTCAGCACACATTGTGTAGATGATTTCTTGTCTCAAYTAAAAGAAGTTGTTGAACCTCCCCTTCCCCTCATTTGGATACCCTCAATACCTTATTAAAAATGTGTATAAATTTTAATGGTTCTAGTAGGAAAACACTTCAGGTAATGAATGAACCTTCTGGTTGAAATTGGATGATTTGGGTTACCCCAAAGTAAGCAGTTAAGCAGTAAATCGCTGGTTTCTGGTTTAGTATTCAAATTTCAACCACACTTTTTGCTGGATAATTATAATCAGAGTTGGTTGTAGGCAGCATTTACTTCCTGTACAGAAGTAGTAAATTATAAAGGAATATATATATTCAATAAATATATCTTTCATAATTTAAACTTTAATGAGCTTATTTATTTCTTTGTTTTCACAGATCATTTTACAAGCTACAGTTATATCAAAAAATGCTTTCATTGCTGTTGATGATATCAGTGTAACAGAGGAATGTGGAGTTATGAACAAACCACTCTCAAGTATCAGCCAGCAAAGCAAAGGCAAGCTCTGTAGCTTTCAATAAACCTGCAGGACAAAATGTTGTGGTCTATACTTTTTTGTTTTGTGGAAATGTATTTTCAGAAAAAAAAATCCTAGTTATGTGGATACTCTGTGATTTCTTCAAACAAAGTAATTCCATGAAAAAGTAGCTCTGTTTGCAAATATTTTAACCTTTTATGGGCAGCTTAGTTTCTGCATAATTTCATTTATAGTTCTGTAGCTACAACTATGCAGATTGTAAAATCCRAGGCTTGATATTGCCTGTTAATTTTGTACATTTCTAAAAACCAAGAGAGATGGTCGCTTTATGCTATATGATCCCACATACTTTCTCTAAGCCAGGAAATTAAAGTACTCCAGAGGCCAGATTTTCAACCAGTATAAATTTTCAGAATTTCAGTGTCTCATTTTCTTTTCTCTCTTTTCTTTTTTTTTTTTTTTTTGTAGCTATACCAAAAGATAAGATCCTATTTCCCTATTTCAACACTGTTTAAATTCCTTCTATTCTGATAGTTTCAAATATAGTTTTCACACTCTTATATTGAACTGAGACTCAACTGACAGCTTCAAAATACCTGTARAAAAGTAGAGAAGCCAGAAAAAAAGTGCATCTGTAGTAATGAGTACCCTATAATGAACACTATCATCCTGTGTTACACATTAGCTTCTATAACTAGTTCAAAGTTAGACTTTTGTAAAATAAGCTGTGGTAGGAGTTTCTAGATACCGTTTAGAGTATGGTATCTGCCATTATTCACATTTGGATGCTGAGACAAAATTATCCAATAAGTATCTTATCTCTTCCACTGAAGGACAAATTCAATTGAATTTTCTTTAGGGCAAGAGGGGGAAGCCATCATTGCTAACATACAGGTAAGYAGCTACATTCCCACTAAACTCGTCAGTTTGCTGCCCTAGTTAGAAAAGTGAAAAGTATATTAACTGTAACTCCTGTCAGTCTTGTGTTGCATCTTGATGCTGTTTAATATTAATGACTACTTCCCTGAAATGGGAATGGACATAAATGTAGTTCTTGGTAATACTGAAGGGTTATACCCAGCAGAAAACTCTTTTTTTTTTTCCTGATTAGAAAGTGTAAAGACATAGTTGAATGAGTGTAAAACATAGTTGATGAGGGACTATCATAGTTGATAGTCCCTCATCTCCATATACCAGCCAATTGGCAATAGATAGGTATTTGAAGAAAAAAAAGCTGATTTAAGCAAACAAGAGAAAGTTGAAAGCTGTATGTTTTTCCCTTCTTACTGTCTCTCTCAAACTCTAATAAAATTGATAGTCTTTGCTTTTTTTTTTCCCTTCATTGAAATTGGGGGTGTGCAGTTTGAAATTGTAAGCTAGTAGTGGTATAGAAAGTATTTCAGCTTCACTGTGAACTGAGCCCATTATTTCCTTGGAGAAATCATTTTTGAAACAAGTGGCAGGGCAAAATTTTTGTGGAAGACAAGCTTTTGATTCTGAGGATTAAAAGATAGTCTGTTGAGCTACCTAACAGAGACTTCTTACAAAGCCTCTCTACTGAACTTGACTATTGACCTCTAAGGCATTTTTGATATATCTTCATTCAAATGTTTGAATATTGTCAAGAATAATAAACAGGTTAAGACCCTGGAACTTTACGTCAAATCTATTATCTAACAGCCATGATATAGACTAGCTCACTAGTTGATTCAATATGCTTTGTGTGTTGTTATATTGAAAGATGATAAAAAGTAAATTTTACAATTTTATACATGTGTTTTTATATCAGTTTTTTTTTTTTTWTTTTATTTTAAGGGGAAGCAGAGTTTGCAGACACTGCTTCTTCATCATTTTACTGTCCACTGGGTCATCTTTCATGTGGGAATGGAGAATGTATTTCACGTGACAAATTCTGTGATTTTACACCTGACTGTTCAAATAGCTATGATGAAGCCAAATGTCGTAAGTGAAAACTCTAAAAGCAATCTACATTGTTAAGCTGCCCGTGAGCATGTTTATTTCTCCTCTGTGTTTGGTCTGATCTGGACCTTCAACGTCCTAGAATCTGGTTGAGGAAGTCAGTATAAACCAAATCAAAAAGAACATGTGCATATGCACTCTTGTAAACAAGATCCTGCATGTACATACAAAAAATGGAATAAAACTAAATAATACATTTCACATGTACCAATTTAGAAGTTGTGTGGCAGGACTCTGCAAGAAAATTCCTTTTTAAAAGGTTGATGATCCTCCAATTGCGTCCGAAAAAAAAAGTCTGAAAAATGTGAGACCAAAAACATTAATGATGTCATGGTCATAGCCTCATGCTAAAACCGTGTGCATTTTGTGTGCTTATTTTTGTTGATACCAGCATTAGATTGGGAACTAAAGCAGTTGTGGACAAACATGGTTGTAAACAATTTAGGCCCTGTCAAGGTTTCCAGCTCTGATATGCTGTGACACCTACCTATATTTTCTCTGTGTACAAATTAACACATGGGAAAGTGGAGAGAGATCTGAGTTCTTCTCTAGTGTGGAATCCACAAGTAGGCCACACTGCTTTTGGCTTGCAATGCATAGCTTCAAAAATCTTGTTGATTCATTCAATAATCTGCCCTGCATAAGAAATCAGTTACACTATTTGCCCATGATAACGAGGCATTTGGTATTGTGTTGAATTTMTGACTGCACTATAATAGTTATGATGCATTGGCACAGGTGAGTTGTTGTGAGCAATACTTAGTTCAGGACTTTTGGAAAATACAATGTGATTGTTTCTAGCATTTTGGAAAAATCATTAGAAATGTAATGCAAAAAAAATACTGTGTTTTCTAAGTATGTTGTATTATGCATCACAAAGTGATAACCTTCACAGGTGCTAATACAATTAAAATCCCTAGTTTATTTTTTAGGGAGTTTATTTGCGAGGAATTAATAATACTCTATATGAGCAGAATGAGATAATTATATTTATTTTTATAGATGAACATTTGTGAGACTTGGAACCTTCAGATTTGAAATATATAAATATATATATTTTAACTCAAAGGATTCTAAAGTAAAAACAGCAAAATCGTCTTTACCCAATCTGGCATTCTGCATAATGAATACCATGAGTTTAACAACATCTCTCTTCTGCCCTCTGATGTCTTGTGACTCATAAATATGGCTATAAATTTTCATTGAGATAAGGCCTTTAAAATTCCCTTTTACTTATCCTCAAATTTTAATAATATGTTAGATCAGTGACTTATTGAATACATTCTTCTTTGAATTGCTTGGAAAACAGTCTGCATTGTTATAGACGAATAAATCATCTAACTTTTCACCAAAACATACAAAAAAATTATACTACTTACTTTTGGTTCTTCTGCACTGTTAATGCCCAGTTTAAAGGATTTCAACAAATTTTACCTGTGCACACTTTCTAACTCATACTTCTTAATGTTTTAACTTTTCTCTGTCCTATGACTTTTTGWGCAAAACTCACAGGTCATCTTGTGAATTGTTTCCACGTTTATTTCTACTGCCTTTACTCTCAGCCAGTGTGTTTTGTTTACTTTAAATAAATGTTTTCAAATCATGATCACCTCTCTCAAAAAGGGATAGTTTTAATTAGGTAAGCAAGTTTCTCCCTTAAGAAGCTGAATGTAGAATAGAATATATTGGATAAATTAGACATTTTCTGTGGTATATTTAACAGCTTATGGCAGCACACTGTTATCAGTATTTTTAATGAATTTTAAAGATACTAAGTATAAAAATATTTGTGTAACACTTAGTGTGAAATATCTTACTAGAAGTACAGTTCTTTTGTCCTTACAATATACAGGAATATATTTTACCCATTATTTTATTTCCTTAGTCCCTTCTGGAAATACACCAGATCTTCTTCATCATTTGCCTATCAATTCGACATTCTTCACCAAACTCCATGGTGATCTCCCTCCAGCCAAATAGCTTCCTTTTGAGTGCAATTCTATATTCTTTGCAGCTCATGTAGTAATGCTGTCTTTAAAATATATGMATGCATGCATAAAATCTGCATGGCACAATGCCATGTTGCTAAAGACTGGRCAGGTCTATTCCTTTTCACATATCTAGCAAGTGAGTCTTGAGGAAATAAAGCACAATTTGTTATTGGTAAACCCACATTACAGTCTAGTCCTCTTCGTTTACTTTCTATTTTAATTCTTTTTTGTTCAAAGCATGCTGAAGCATTCATTGTAAGGTTATAATTGCCCAAATTTGTCTGGATTACTCTCCCATGTTTGTTCTTAAATTCAAGTACTGTGATTTCTATTTGCTGATCAAATAATAGCATTTCCAAGTTAATAGTTTAATTAAAAATACTGCTAATAGATTTATGATTTCATACAGGATCTTTCACTGTGCTAGGATGGCAGTTTAAGCTTTAATCCCCACAAATATAATCTTGGAAGTTTTCACTTCCAAGATAGTCTTTTTGATTTCAGTTCGCTTCTGTCTTTAAGCTATTCAGACTATGTTTCCACATACAACGTATTTCAACATTATACCCTTCCCGAAAATCAAGGCAAATATTCAGTTAGGGGCTTAACTGTACCTCTATTGTCCTTAATCATAGGCTTCCTGTATGGCAACTCTTTCTAATTATGTAACTGTAGATGCTTTTATTATGCCCAAGTGTCAGTTGCTCAGACTATGCATTAAAACTGCCATGCTAACAGTAGAATTATAGAGTTATTATAAGTATATTTGCAATAGACCTTACTATAAATATATTGTGGCCCMCTTACCAATTGTTGTCATACTGCTGAAATGAAGCAACATTCTTCATCCTGAATACAGAAGCACCTGAACTCGCTCAGTGTGTGCCACCACTGCAGCCTGATCATGTGAAGCAGAATGTAGGTACAAAAATGTGTTTTGCAAGTAGTTTAGCATGTTGATGGTTCAGGTTGGAAGGGACCTCTGGACCCAAGCAATAAACTCAACTTTTAGTATGTTAGTCTGGTGGTCTATAGCAATAAAACTTCTC